ACACAGCTTTTTTCGTTTGTTCTTTAATTCATCCGTTCTAGTATTCCCCTCAGTGTCTCTGCTGTTCACTGTCTACCCACTTATTCATATCCAAACACATTCAAACACACACTTCTTGTTGATCTTCAGTGCCACACATATAAACACACTGATGCATATACACTGCCCATCAAATCCATGACTCAGGTCTTGGAGGCCTTTTTTCTATCCAGGCTGCGAAGCTATGACTCTTCGTTTCTTACCATACTATCCGTCATATTACCAACAACAGTAGGAGGTGTTCTTTAATGCACATCTACACTCACCAAACAAGGAATGGCATTATATACAGTGCAGAGAGTGATGGTGCACTTATCATTGTCAGGACTACTGATCCTTATCCTTCACTTCTCTCTCTATCACTGTCCGTCCCTTTGCATCCCCAGGAACCTCCATTCACTGGAAAAACACCTAGGGAGCCTAAACTAAACACAGCAAAACAAGCCTCTTTGGTTGCACTCCTGTTTTCCTCCCTTGTGTTCTGAGAAGCTGCTGGGCTGGGTTTTAGAGGACTGGCAGTGCCCCCTGCCTCGATACACATCTAGTTTTTTGGGGGGTGGGGTGTGCGCGTGTGCACATATGCTAACTTGACTACATATTGTAATGGAAGCAAAGAGGCGCTGCCCTATGAGTTGAGCTTTCGGTGAAAATAGAACTGTGACTAATTCCAGGGATGGCTGTAGCATGTCAGGAACGAGCATCACAGTTCATTTAATCACACATCCATTTTGGTCTGGTCCCAGTTCAGAGTGTGGAATATGTCACGGGGTCTCTCTCTCCGCTCAGCAGCTCTGCAATCGTTTAACTCCTCTGCTTCCCTCCCTCTCCTTCTCTCCGAGTCTCTTTATCTTTCCCTTTCTTCTGCTCCTGGGTGGTTCGGCTGGGTGACATGAGCTGTTAGCTGCACACAGGCAGGCCCAGAGTTCTTAACCGCCTGCTGTCTCTACTGTGAGACAGAATGCAAGAGAGAGTTTGATAAAGAGAGATGTAAGAGTACAGGAAAAACAAAGGCAGAAAGAGAGAAAGAAAGTCCAACCCTGACAGGGTCAATGAGTTTACCTTGACAGCGCACATATACATTTTAAATTCCCTGGCCGCATGTGGTGCATTTGGCACCAGGGTGAACCATGCAATGTCATGCTTTTGTACTATTAAGAAATCACTACTGTTGCATGCTATACAACAAGACATCAATCAAATATATTTTCGTGTGTTTTTTTTCAAAATCTGTGCGTTCAAATGTATGTTCTGTGAGTTCGTGTATGTATGTGTGTAGGTTAGTCAGATACTGCAGCTGAACAAAAGAAAGTGAAGGGGACCCGGCAACAACAATGTCCCCACATGCAGAGCAAATGTGCCTGCAAAGCCACTTCAATGAGAGGACTGGCAAGGGATGAAAGTTTGTTGGCTTATTTGAGTGTTTATAGCGTTTAAGGGGAGCTGTCATGTGCATGTGGTCCACTAAAACTTTAATTATGCACCTGTTTTTATTATATTATGCCCAATTCTTTGCAAACAGCATCTTGGATCTTGGAATTAAATGAGAAGCAGAAACTCTCATTAGGGTGTTTTGGGAATGCTGGATGTGAAGACAGCCAGGCACTCATCGGATTTCATTAAGTAGCTGGCACGGTCAGTGTTTCTTGCTGCAACATGGTAAACAGCTTTATGGCAGGCAGCTTTTCACTGTTACCACAGGCTATGAAGGAAACAAAAGCTTCCAAGAGGTAAAAAAAACACCTGCAGCTTCAGCAGAGCAACAAATGACAAGATTAAAACATATAATACAAAACATATATAACATAAAACAAGTATGCATGGGGCAACTACCAAAATGTATTTTACTGTTAGAGTGCAGAATCCATATTACCAACAGAGTCTGTAGCCTGGGGAGCAAAACTCATTAAAGCATACTGCTCTTATAATGTGGAGACCCACCAGAAGTGGGCCCAGAACCCATTTTGGTCCTGACTCATAATTTAAGAAATCAGGTCCTTGGCTTGAACTTCAGTGCCTCGTTGAATAGGCTGTCTCTGACCTCACAGTGGTCCTTTAAGTCAATAACTTTTTTATTAAAACGCACAGGCCACCAGGAATATGTTAAAAGGAAATCAAAATTAGTCAGGAGCTATGAAAAATTAGGTGTTTCAATTTCAGCCAATGAAATATGCTTTCCTCTGGTGTATTTCAACAACATTAGGCCTCATTTCCCGACCTGTCCCCTGTTGGAGCTGTGACTGAGTGACAAAGAACCACACCAGTGCTACGACAGGCCAGTTGGCGGACTTGCTGGCTGCCTGGGTAAGTAACTGGTTGACTGGCTGGCACAAGGTCTTTCTGTCCAGTGTACCTGTCAAAATCATGCAAAACAGGGCATGGTGTTGTGCAGAAGGTGTGAGTCAGAGTCACGAGTACCATGTGAGCTGTGGTACTCGTTGCCTAGTCTGTTTCCTCTGAGGACATGCTCAAATGTAGACATAACGCAGGCACAGATTAAAAATCTATTTTTACTCATTTAAACAAATAATTTAAATCTTAAAGGGAGCAGAATTAAAAGACGGTCCTTACAAAACACTTTTGTTAACTCTAAACATGGCTCAGCCCCCGTTAGTGGTAATATAAAGACAGGTGTTTGCCATGACAAGAATAAGGGATCAATACCTGAGCCAAACCTTCCCTTTAAACAGTCTTCGGGTAACCTAATAACTGTGCCATACTCATTCCACATTATAATAGCTGAGATCTATTAAGGTCAGTGGTTGTTAGGCTAATCAGCTTCCTGGTCTGGTCTGTGGTCACAACTATACTTAGACAAATACAGCTGGGGTTCTAGCCAACAGGCACAAGCACATGAATGCACATAAACAACCTCACACGACCACAAAAATGCAACTAATAAAAAAAATGTTTGCAAATATGCACATATACTTGCATGCCAACGCATATGCCATCACATAAGCTCACACACACCTGCATGCACACATGTACAAACTAATAACAGCAGGTTAGTAAGCCCGAGCATGATCAGCAGCAGTAATGAGGCTACAGCTGACAAGGGGCCTACTGCTCAAACAACCTGTAACTGGAACAATTATAAAACTGGGTGCCAATACTGACGTCTGTTGGAGTGTGTAAACATTGCTCAGCATCTGTAATAGTAAAAGAATCCACTTTCTGCAAACTGAGCAAAATGGGAAAAGAGACAAAAAGAGAACAAAATGTAAGCAAACCATGAAAAAAGCACAAGAAAGAATGAGAGAAAAACAGCAGACACATGCCACAGAAGGATAGAGACCGCAAACTTGCAGGTCATATGTTATTCTCCAGGTAAAATAATACCTAACATGGGGAGTCTCATTAAAAAAGTCATTTGGAAAAGTTCCAGTACAAACTCAAGCAGGAATAGGGTATGTAACTGGTATGTCGTTGCTTTGTACTCCTACAGACAAAAATAAAGGAAGTCTAATTAAAGAAGGCTGGTCGGGGTGTATCTCTAGGTATCTATACAATTAGGACAGCGTTCTTGCAGATGTCCAGCAATGAGTTATGACATGTTAGCATTAGCAAAGATACTTTGACACAAGTGAGAAGAAAGAAAACTGAGAGCTATGACGCCTGATGTGAACAGCCAAATGTGGTCAGCATTTTTTTTTTTTAAATATTAGATCAGAATCTTGCGGTGATTGAAGGAATATTGCCACAAGCAGCTGGTCCTAATGGTTTACACAGTGTCCCAGAATACAAGCTTGCAGTTTCCAGAACGTACATTTTTGTTATTACTCATATCCTGTACAGTACAAAAAAATCAGTTGCCTCACTCTTTCCAAAATATAACAACACAGACAGCTGTGGGGACTGGGACATCAGCAGGAGATGTGGAGCAAGGTGTCTGGTCCCTCAATGGATCACAGAGACAGAGGGAGGCATACTCACACAAACGCACTTTCCCTGGCACAGGTGGATTTTGTCTTAATTGGAGCAAAATGGGAAATTCCACATGAACTAGAACAAGCTATGCCAATAAACTGGTAAAAGCTAGTGGAAGGACTAAAATACTAGATTCATGGTAATAAAGAAAATCGACAAGATAGCTAATTAGTTTTGACAAGTCTCACAATGTGCGACTTTCTCTTGACTTCAACTTATCTGAGTCTATTTACAAAGTCCGCAGTAACAGCAATGCAATCCATTATGGGCTGACATATTTGTTTGATAGATACAACAGATAGCCAC